ATCTTTGTGCTGTAAAAATTCCCCCAACCTCCCAGACTAAGTATCAGTGAGCTACAAAAGAGGGTTGGGAAAATGCTCATAAACATGTGTAACGGGAGACAGACCTGCTAGCTACCATGCAGTCTTGCTTATTTTCCTCTATAAAATAAGCAACAAGTAGGAGAAAAGACATTGAGCCAAGAGTTTAATTTCCCCACAAATCCGAGACAACCCTACTGTTCAATCATCTTACAAAGAATATTACATCATATTACAAAGAAACAAATTATGTGTGATAAATTTTTTTAACAGCAGAGTTATTGTATGGTAAAAATATCATAGATGAGAATTATAGGTTTGCATCTTTACAGAGCTTGATTGGATTAACGGAGGGAAATTAGAAAGTAATTTCTTTGAAGCAACTATTCCTTTAAATAAACAAGAACATTTAGGAGAAATTGCTTACCTATAACATCCATTTTAGGCAAGCAACAAATATGTATAGATCTGCGTCTCCAAGGTGATGGCATTATCTCTATGTAGTCGTTCACCATGGATATCCCCTTTAGAAAAACTAAAACTAAAGGGCATTGATCTGAAGAATGCAAAGGTCATTTTAAAAATACATAAGCTTAAAAAACCCAAATATCATAGAAGAGAAGCTTGGAGAGAAGGTTACATAATTTTGATTCCTTTTTATCCATATGATGCAAGCCTCGGATGTACTGCTTTCCTGGCTGACACCTGAACTGTAGCCCCTGACACTCTGAGCCAGAACTACTCAGCGAAGCTTCTCCTGGGTTTCTGATTCACAGAACTGTGATGTAATGAACACTGTTTTACTGCATTTATCTTTTGGGTAATTTGTTACACAGCAATAGACAACTAATATAGTCTGAATCATTTAACCTGCCACTACTAGAATCTATTAAGTGTCTGTGTTCATTTAATCATAGTATTAGCTACTGTCTTCCTTGCACAGATGAGAAACCAATGTGGCAGGTGCTCAGCTAGCTATCAAAAAGCCACGCACAATCTGCTTTTCTCCCTTGCATTCCTCTAGCATAGAGGATCAAAAGCTAAAACATTTCCCTTCACAGGTTTCTTTGCACTTGGTTGTGGCCATCTGACAGTACAGACTAATGAGATATACGTAAAGTCTGTTGGGAGAGGACTTTTCTTGCTAAACAAAGGACAAAGGTTTAGGAGAAGCTTTCAGCCTTTTTCCCTGCAAGGAAAACACAGTTAGCAGTCATCTTGCTTTCAACCTTACAGTAGCCATGAGGTTGAATGACACACTCCAACAGTGTAGAAAAGAAAAACAGGAGGGGCCTAGATCCACAGCGATTTCCTTGTGCAGATGCTCCTTCCTGGTCTGCCACCTTCAGAGTTCCTTTTACTTGAAACGAATAAACCTTTTCCTTCTTCAAGCCATGACTTAGCCAGGGTTTTTGTTGTTAGAAAAAGGGCACATTCCTAACTAATATATTGAGATAAAGAGAGGTAATTCAAACCCAGGTCTGCTGATTTTATGATTTAAGCTCAAATAGTAACACACCATCTTAATAAAAACAAAAACCAACTGGAAGTAAATTTTGATGCAAACACAACCAGGTATCCTGCAGACACAGGTAAGTCCTTAGACAGGCTGGGGAGTCAGAAAATGATGTCCTACTCCTTCACTTCATTGTCAGTTTTCTATTTCTTCACCTCCAGAAGCCACATCTTGACTTCTGCAGCTACCAGTTTACCAAAGCTATACTCATCAAAGATATCAGTTAGTACAAAATACAAGTTCTTTTGTAGCTTGTATGTGACTTAATCTCTCCACAGCACTTAATGTTTACTAGTTTTTCTTAAAATATCCTTTCTTCTAGGATTTCACTTTTTTTCCTTCCTCCTGATTGGCCTCTTTTCTCCCTTTTAATCTGGTCCTATCATCTTGCAGATGATAATTCATTCTTCACGTGTATACTAAAAACCCCATTGTATTGATTTTTTTTAATAAGAGGACTTTTTAACTCTGTGATACAAGAGAACCGGGTTGGATCCCTGGGTTGGGAAGATTCCCTGGAGAAGGGAATGGCAACCCACTCCAGCATTCTTGCCTGGAGAATCCCTGGTGGGCTACACTCCATGGGGTCACAAAGAGTTGGACACGACTTTTATTTTTCCACCTCTTTGTAAAATACACACACACATACATATACAAGTGTATGATGTACATTTTAGTTCTTGATGCTTTTTTATGGTTTCTAGTATGTCTGACCAATGTAGCTGTTGCATTAAAATGTATTACATAAATATAAACAGATCATATGAGAGAAAAGCCCTGTTTATCTCAGGGGCCACTATAAAATCAAAGAACCTTTCTAAATGCCTCCATTTGAATGTCATGGCTTCTAACTGACTGAGCTCTCAGTATGATTTCTGTGGCACCTCTATCTCTAGCCCATTCTCCCCTACCTTATATCTAAACATTTATCATTTACCTCAAGCCCCAAGATACACTAGACCTGTTCACTACCAAGTCTTATTCTGCTCCTCTGCATTGATGAGAGGTAATCCGATTAAACTCCTCTTTGCTCTAGACTTTTTCATTTCTCTTGTCCTTTCTCCTTCCCCGTGAGCTTTTATTTGTGCTCTTGACTCCACTTCTCTAGCCTGATCTTGGGCTCAGCTGCATCAATTTTTGGTATGGCTGCATCTTACATTGATTTAACTCACACAAAGGCAGCTCTATATAATGTCCGATTATGCTTCTCATTGTGTTGCATCAATTGAAGTCACTTTCAGTCCATTGCTAGTTGAGCACTGTAAACTAGGACGGTAAACACAGTTCTCCCATAGTTAATCTACCTTACTATTAAGAGCTTGAAGTGCCATGAACAGAGAAGTGATCATGTTGCCATTCAACTCACCCCTGAGGAACTAAGTAGTGCTTGGTATCATCCAGCCAGATCACAAACTTAAAGGAAACAATTATGTGCTGTAAATGGGGCTGAGGCAGTCACAAGTCTAGTGATGAATCCCATTAACCATCAAGTGTCGGGCACAACCACCAGTGAATATCTTTGTGTTTTGGTTCTAGTGGTTAATACTATATTTTATTTGTTGTTGTTAACATGACCTCAACTACAAGTCAACAACAGGAATTTGACAGCAGTTACAATCCTGGAGCTGTTACAGAAACCCTTCGGCCACATCTCCTCGAAAACTATTGCAACCTCCAAGCCTTTGGTGCTTTCAGTTAGCATCTAAGTCACAGAAATCAATAAATATCAAAATACATAAAACAGAAAAAAGGTTTGTGAACACAAACGGATTCCTAGCAGATAACTGATGGGTGAGCTACAGGATGGAGGAGCAGGGGCAACGACTATCAATTCAAACAAGGTACAGCTCAAGCAATGTCACAAACCTCCATCCATAGTTCATCAGGCACTCTATCAGATCTAGTCCCTTAAATCTATTTCTCACTTCCACTGTATAATCATAAGGGATTTCATTTAGGTCATACCTGAATGGTCTAGTNCATCTGAACAATGTAATTTAGAATAATTTGTTGGACTAATTAAATAAAAATATATACATTTCTACTAGCTACTGATTAGAACTGTATGGTGAAATAAAGTAAAGTTTTTACAGACCTAAAACAATAGAATCCACATTTATTTTTTAATAAATTGTTAAATTTTATATAATTTTAAGATTTATGGGAAAACTGTGACTTAATACAAACAGTTCCCATATACCCTGTATGTGGTTTCTGCTATTATTTTCCTACATCAGTATGGTACATTTGTTATAATTAATGAGTCAATAATACTACATTAAAATTAACTAAAGTCTGTACTTAATTGGCATTCCCTTTATTCCTACCCCATACTTCATTCCTTCAGCATCCCATTTAAGATACATTTACTCCTCATGTCTCGTTAGGCTCCTCTTGGCTGTGACAGTTTCCCAGACCTGCTTGCTTCATGCCCTTGACAATCTTGAGGACTAGTGGGCAGATCTTAGGGGAAACAGTGAAAACAGTGACAGACTTTATTTGGAGGGGGGGTGCTCCAAAATAACTGCAGATTGTGACCTCAGTCATTATATTAAAAGACACTTGCTCCTTGGAAGAAAAGCTATGACCAACCTAGACAGCATATTAAAAAACAGAGATATTACTTTGCCAACAAAGGTCCATCTAGTCAAAGCTATGTTTTTTTTTTCCAGTAGTCATGTATGGATATGAGACTTGGGCTATAAAGAAAGCTGAGTGCCAAAGAATTGATGATTTTTGAACTGTGGTATTGGAGAAGACTCTTGAGAGTGCCTTGGACAGCAAGTGGATCTAAGCAGTCCATCCTAAAGGAAATCCCATGAAAATAGTCATGGGAAAGACTGATGCTGAAGCTGAAACTCCAATACTTTGGCCACCTGATGCGTAGAACTGACTCATTGGAAAAGACCCTGATGCTGGGAAAGATTAAAGGCAGGAGGAGAAGGGGACGACAGAGGAAGAGATGGTTGGATGGCATCACTAACTCAAGGACATGAGTTTGAGTAACTGCAGGAGTTGGTGATGGACAGGGAGGCCTGGCATGTTGCAGTCAATGGGATCACAAATGTCGGACATGACTGAGTGACTCAACTAAACTAAAGCACTTTAGATTCCTAAAGTCTAGTTGGGGATGTTCAGGGAGCAACAGGGACCACAGCAGTGTTCTTTAGATGTGCACATCCATTTGCTTCTCCAAAAATCCATTTCCTCTCCTTTCACTCATTTCCTGCTTCTAAACAAACATACAGCACTTAGCAAAGGCTTTATGTTAGTTAGGAGACAAAGAAGGAACGGGAACTAGCTCTGTAAATAAAAGGTTAATGGAAAAGCAAACCCTTTATATTAACTCCACCTTACAGCAACTATTAGCTATGTTATGCTTTGATCTTTTCATTTATGCTCACTCACATATATTATGGCCAATATCTTTGAAAAAATAAAAACATGTAAGAATAAGCATGTTAAGGACCTTTCACAAACCAAGTGACAGTAGGCTTTTATTAACATATCTTACAATGTTGATTATCCTAGTTTTGTAATTTCTGCTTAATTATAAAGATTGATTTAGCTTCTACAGTAATGTACTGTATTTAAATGATGATTCATACAAGATATCACACCAGGACATTTTTTTGAATAATATACACACATCACTCTAACTTGGACCTGTTATTTTTAAAAGTGGGTTTATAAATGGGACTTATAAAAGTTATGGGGGAAAAATTAAAGTTCTAGTTTAGCAGCATGCATGTATGTAATTCAAGTACAATTTTCAACCAAGTGCTTTTTAAAATTTTACTGGTGACTAATTCACCAATATCAAAATAAACACTATCAAATACCCAAATTTTAATGTTAAGGCTAATATTTTCACTTCACATCCATATGCACAACCATAAAACATTCCATTTTAAATATGCAGTAATCAAAGTCTGAATACATTATACCATGTATATATAGCATCAGAGTTTCAAACTGTAGAATTATCCAAGTTCATGAATCCTGTAACAGTAATTACTAGAGATGTAAATTAGCATTTTGTTCTTCAACCACACTTACAAATGGTCTGGTATCCATAATGACCAATGCAAAAAGTAAGACAGGCTGAACTTATGATACAGTATTTTAAAAAGTAGCAATGTGTTGGAAAGGACAGCTACTTAATTAAACAGAATCATTCTAGTCTTTCAGAAAGTTACCTTAATATCTTGGAAATGTATATAAAAATAGCAAGCTATTTCCATGTGTTTTATTGTAGGTCCATAGGTAATCTTTTGATTTTTTGAACATATTTGAATATTTACTGTTCTGTTCTATTTTAATGCAAGGCCATCATTTAAAGTCCATTTTTATATCCTGTAGTATCATGTCATTCAACAATTTTTAGAACACAGATCTGTGATTTTATTTTACCATTAGATGTTTTTCAGTTTATTTTTACACATAAAAATGTAATTTTATATAACAAGCCATGGAAGTCCAAAGTACCAGGAATTGCTTGATAGCACTATATATATTAAATAATCATCAAATTATTGAATCATTTGGAAGAAAAATCGTGGCAGCAATATATAACATGCTTTTCTGTAATCTTCCTTCTGTAAGTACAGAGTGGGTTTTAGCTCAATCATTTCCATTCTTACTGACTTAAAAACCCTACAAACATAAACCGCTTTTCACAGCAGCTTCAAACAAGAATGCAGGTGTACAGTTCACTCACGAGGATCATCACCACTGAGCCGTTTTTTTTTCCCTTTTAGGAATCCAAGCAGAAATAACAATGATTACACTGCACAAATACAATACAGATGAACCTCTTGAGCTGATAAGGAAAGTTCCAAAACTATGCTCCATTTGTGGGGAAATCGGAGCTTTTTTCCAATCCCATCATTTAAACAAAAACTTGATTGGTAATAAAAGGTGGGCATGCACAGAATCAAAATCTGCCATGTGTATGTTCTTAAAACTTCTGATTTTATAATAAAATCTATTTGCTATTATCTCAAGTAAGTTATCCAAGTGAAATGGCAAATTTTGATTTTTAGGGACTCCCCCAACCACACAAATGCCCCCCTAAAAGTACTGTACTATATTAACAGCAGCTATCTACTTATTTTACAACTATTTCAGTTATTTACCTGGGGAGAATATTTATGAAATTCCTGAGAATGAATTAAGTTTTCAGCAAAGCCTTAAACTTTTAACAGGTTCCTCACAATAAGAAAAAATTGTAAAGTTCTACTATTAGACCAACTTTTACTATACAATATTTCACATAAATCATGTTTTACATTTTTTTCTAATTACATACAGCAAAAATCTCAAATCAACACAAGAATGGCAGAGGGAAAGGATGCATTATGTTTAGCAGATGCAAATTAAAACACAGATATAAAGAAGCAGTAAAACCTTAAATAAATCACATCCACTCTAAATATCAATGAAAAGCAGATATGCACTGTTGGGAGAATCATTTTAAAATGATTTTGTCAACAAGTTGTGCTTCTTATTAATTGTGGACTTAAACAAAAAAGGACCACTAAAGAATGGTTTAACTTGTTACTTGTTATGCTCTCCAGATACTTCAAAAAAAAAAAATTATTATACCATTAATGTGATTACCAAGCACCTAATTTTGGAAAGGCTTTAAAATGTATGTTTTCTTTTTTTCCCTCAGCAAAAGCGTTAATCCCCCAAATTAAGTTAAAGCTTATTGTTGATAAATTCTTAATGAAAATGATATAATGAAATGCCAAGGTGGTAAGTCACAGCCCATTGTAATGTGGACCCCATCTTTTATTGATGTGATCAAAAGTATGAGAAATCCACTGTTGTTCAAGAACTTTGTATCTTTCTTTACAAATGTAGAGAGGCTTGCCTCGCCTAAAATGAAAAGAAAAAAAAAAGCATTAAAATAATATAATACAATGAAGCTTTCACACATGTTTTAAAAAATAGATTCTCTATGGCAAAAATCTCACCTAGGAAATTGGTTTATTTCACATTTCCTTAACATTGTAATGGGGAAAATATCTCCCCACATAGAAACAACTCTAAATTAATGACTGCCAGAATTTCTTAATATAAAGAGTAATTATTATTATCAACACAATTACAAAGCCAGGAATGGCACATTATTCTTACTGGCCAAAGTTGAATAAAACACGAGGATATATCCATGAACATCTAACCTAAGATCTCGGTCTTCCTCTCCATGAGCATCCAAATACACAGAACCCCAGAGGCAGAAGCGGTGGCCTCGAATGATGATAATCACTGATGCATTGATCAAAAGGAAAATCCCTGTTCCAGCACCACAGTTCTGAGAATGCTAAAAAATAAAAAAATGTGAATGGACTTCATAATCAAATGGACTTCACAAGAAAAGAAAATGAATAATGCCTTGTCTTCTTAAATAATAGAAACATTTAAATTTTTTAAAATAAGATTTCATCTAAATTAAACTTATAGTTTCATTCTTAATCCTTTATTAACAATACATTAGGAAGAATTTGGATAAGGATTATCTAGGAACTCAATTAAGAGCTAACCTAAAACTAATTCATTGAGTCTAGTGTCTATAACAGCATATCTAACGGTTGTTCCACCGCATAACATCTAAGCATATATTCCATTAAAGGGCAAGAGAGGGGAGTAGGGAGAGGAACTGCAGCTGCGCTTACGAAAGGTTTTACCCATAAAAAACCTTAGGTGGGTGGTGGTGGTGGTGTTTTGTTTTTACCCTTCTACAGGATGTAAAACAACAACAACAAAATCAAGATCCTTATATGTATCATGTATTTAACTCAAATAATAGTTAAATTTGAAGTTGGTTTGACCATATTTTTGTATGTAATACACACTGCATTGTATGTAATACACACCACATTTCCATGTGATATGAGATTTGAGCTTCCATAAATTTTATACTATTCACTCTTGCTTACCAATACACATTCACAGTAACTTTGTTGCTTGCAGCAAAGTCCTTTCAGGCATACAAAAGTACCACAAACAAGGCAAACAGCAGGGTCTTTAGGAACCTTGGTGCAGACACTACAGGTTTTTCTGTGGTAGTACTGGAAAATGGTGTTATAATTTTCAGGCAACTGTAGAAGGTGTGGCAATTTCCATTTTGACTCTTGGATAAGCAATGCCTAAAACATTATTCAAAAATATTCATTAGTCCTATGTATTTAAGTTACTTATACAAAATATTTGTTTTTTAAAGGCTGTTTTCTTTTTTAAAGAAAACCTGTCTCCAAGAATGTGGCTTTTTTTTAATTAACACTCTTGCCATTTCCATTTTACAAAAGACTAAAATAGTCCTTCAACAATTACCATTCTCTATTTTAATATATTCTATTTTAATTTAAGTCCCTTTGTGGCACCAGTGGTAAAGAACCCGCCTGCCAATGCAGGAGACATAAAGAGACTCGGGTTTGATCCCTGGGTTGGAAAGATCCCCTGGAGAAGAGAAGTGAATGGCTATCTACTCCAGTATTCTTGCCTGGAGAATCCCATGGATAGAGGAACCTGGCGGGCTACAGTCCATGGGTCGCAAACACTCAGACACAACTGAACAACTAACACTTTCATGCTTTTTCAATTACTACATGATGTAAATTTTAGATTAAGCACCCTAGAACATTTAAATTTCTTATTATTTTAAAAGAAAAATATGAAATATAACTAAGGATGCAAGGAAAATATATGCAGATGTATTTGTTTTTAAATATTCTTGATGTGTAATTTTAAACAGTTACACATCTTTCAAAACTAAGTTTTGAACCTTTCTTAGATACAAAAAAGGACACTTGGTGGCTCAAATGGTAAAGAATCCGCCTGCAGTGCAGGAGACCTGAGTGTGATCAAACAATTCACTGGCTTTTTCTTTTGGGGAAGATCATGGTTATAATTTAATTTCTATTTCAGTACTTTATTATCTGGAGTTTCCTTTCTAGAAGATGAAAAATCTTACACCTCAAGCTGTTAAGAGCTTTTATATCTGTCAGTGCTAGGGCTACAATTCTTTTCATAAATTTTGTCAGGAAGTATGAAAAAAAATAACAAATCAGTTAAATTTCCCTAAAGGGTATTTTGTTCATTTTTTTGTAGTTATATAAAAATACTGGAAATAGCATTTATGTTTTTTCTAAATGCTACTTCCTTAACACTTAAAACAGATACAATGTAGTATGAATCTATACTTTAAGAAACTATAGAGGTTGGCAATTCACCTGGTGATCTTCTCACGGTACTGACAGCCATAATACATCTTATACACATATCCAGCTTGGTGTTTATCAGTAAGTTCATGGATAAAGTGGCCATGGAAGCAAGGATAAGGACAATATATGTGCTTACAATATGCTATCTGCCTTACACAGTGCCCAACTCTTGACTCCAAAGACTGCATATTCTGTAATGAGTTGATTAAATATGGAACCCTTCCATCAGTGGAAAGAACAGCAATTTGTCCTCACTGACCTTGATACTTACCTAAATTAGGTTGTAAATTGCCCAGCAGCATACACCACATGGTCTAGTTTAGTCAAAGAATTTTCTTCATACAGAAAGAGTAAGGCAAGAAGTGGATGTCTATGAATTAATTGATCTTAACTGGTAGTCAATCATCCGAAAAACTCATTGGTCTTTTAAATAATCAACTACTTTGCTGATGAATTTTTAGATGATACCATCTAAAAGAAAACACCTATAGAATGAGGTATATGGTCCTACAGAATGAGGTATATGAGCTAAACAAGCACCAGTACACAGGGTGAGTGCTCCCTTATAGATGGAATGCACAAATTTGGGAACCAGGGGGTGACATCTCTCATAATTAGACCTAAGATTTTGGTGTTTAATTTCTGTTTCCCTGATATTCTGGATTCTTCTGTGGTTTTAGTACTATCATAAGGAAGCCGTGTACTATCCTCCATCAAGGGACATCTTAACAGTTCTACTGAATTAAAAACTAAATGTCTTTGACCATTCTAGGTTCCCTAGACCATTGGGAAGTATGAATTAAGTATTCTCTTACTTATTAGCATGTCACCACTATAGCAAGTGAGTGTTACTCTTTTTACATACCTTTCCTTGTTCAGCATGTCTTTCAGTAAATGAATTTATCTCAAAACACCACTGAGATATAATATCAAATGCTGGAACTGGCCAATCCAGACAGGAGGCACTGATGAATGGATGTTCTGTTTGGTAGAATGTTGGCAGAAGTCCCAGACAGCTGGAAAGAACTGAAAATTCTTCTTCTTCCTTTTAGATATAAAACAGAAAATTCTAAAGACATTTCTCATGAACATTTCCCACTACAGACACTTTAAGTGTCATTCTCATCAATTACTTTTGGATAGTATGAAAACTTTCTTAACTGATTCAACTAAATAAAGTAAAGGGAGTAAGAGGAGCAAAGAAAGAAAAAGGTTCCAAGATGTTATATCCAATATTCCCATAATATTTCTCTTTGAAATTTAACTCCTAAGTACCATAGCATCTGCTTCATTTATACATTTACATATTTTAAAAATAGCACTGTCAGTTATCTATAGACTATCTGATAGTCTATAGAATCTAGCTCCACTAGGAAGTCAAATGTTAATATGGAGCAAAAGGACAGTGACTTTTGGTTAAAAAGACATAGACTGTCAGTGCGGATAAAGAAGAATAGGGAAAACATGGAATTCACAATAGTAAATAGTGTAAACTGCAGTAAACTGTGGTCTCTGAAGGGATTTGCAGTCACGTCTCGGGCCCCCTGGTCAGTCATGCTCTTTCACATAGTTGTATTCCTAGCCCTGGTGCCTTTATTCCTAGGTTTCTTTATCTGAGGCCTTGGGCAGGGGACACCTTGACATTTCTGCCAAGGCCACTGTATGAAGGGAAAAAGGTGAAACCTTGAAGAAACGTTTTGCCATTCTGACTCAGTACCCAGCACTTTTCCACTCCTGTCCTGACCCCCTCACCCCCTCTCCACCTCAGAGTTCATAATACTAAAACAGCCTTCTGTTTGAGACTCCCTTAACATCTGTGCTGATCCATTATGACCC